TGAGAAAAATAGGTCCTAACAGGGTTGAAAGTCAGACTTAGTATCAGAGCTAAACCGGTCAGAAGTGAGATCAGAAAAACAAGTCACACTGAGAGGGTGGAATGCACAGACATAGAATGGGATGTTTAATTGCCCACAAACACAGTGAAGGGAGTTTCTCCCAGTGTCCTGGCCAACAAACCCCCGAAATAGATGTAATTCACTGCATGGCAGTTGGCTCCTACATTGCTGTGTGCCAATGGGCTTCCGTGTTCGCCTACAAATACACAGTCACTACAATTTACTGTAAATCATGTGGAATGCTTTGTGATGTTCTGAGAGGCGCTAAACTAAATGCAAGTGTTATTATTATATCACGCGGAAGGTATCTGGAGAATATAGAGAAAAGGCAGAGAAATGGTTTAAAATATCTGCCAAGATCTAAAAAATAACAGTGGCCATCGTTCCATTACAACTGTCCTCCCAAGCAGTTTCTTAACCGAATCCAGTGTCCTGTCCTCAACCGTCCTAATGATAATAATAATAATAATAATAATAGCAGCAACAATAACAATAGTAATCCTTGCACTTTTCATTCTCAGGAGGACGTCTCAAAGTGCTTCACAGGATTTACTGTAAAGTGTAGCGACTGTGTTTTGCAGGTGAATATTTCTCCCTAACCCCGGCTCAGGCTGTTGATTAGACAATCAAACAGTTTATGGATGCGCTGCCATGACAGGCTGTTGGCTAAAGGCACCTGCACAGAGCAGAAGGGCTCAGGTTGGCATCACGGTCTGTGCTGACTTGGCTGATGGCATTAAGTCAATTGGTCTCAGTGTTCAACATGTGTTCCATTATCAGTTAATCGCATCTCGTTACTCTGGGTCCAGGAATATTAGGAGGATCCAAACTGCCCCCAAAAATGTCCAAATTACTTATTGTGCCCCAGAAAGTAAATTGCTCTTCGGAATCCTGTAACCATACTGGTTAAAAAATAATACTAATAATCCTTTCATTTGATATGGCGCCTTATCACGTCTTTGAGGTGTCTCAAAGCGCTTCACAGAATTAACCGTAATATTTTGTGGGAGCAAGCACTCGCTTCGCAAGCGAGAGGACCTGGGTTCGATTCCCGAGTGGGGGCGAAACCTCAGGCAAGTTTCCGTACTCCGCGCGCCTGTTTACCTAGCTGTAACTAGGAACCCGGTTGTTAGTCGATTGGCGGATCGCTTTTCCAGGGCTAACGATCACTCTGCCCCCAGAAAGAAAAAAAAATGCGGTCGCTCAATCCATGACTATTCGTTGGACGTTGCTGTGCGCAAAATTTCAGCAACAAAATATACGATCAATTCACTTCACGGTATGTTCCGTGAAGCGCTATCGGACGTCTCAAAGACGTGATAAGGTGCTTTGTCAAATGCAGTTATAGTGCAGAGGAAAGTCCAGCCCACATCTCTGCCCGAGCTATATTAATACTGAACAAGCCAGGAACATATCGATTGAATCAGCTGCTCACTGATCCGAAGACTGGTAGCATGGTGCGAGCGGTTATTGACAAGAATCGATGCTGCGCAGCACACTCGCGGGGGAAACGTGCCTGGTAAAGCAAGGAATCGATCGGCCATGGGGAAGGGGGAGGTGTGTAGGGGGGAGGGTTTGTGAAGGCATCTCATCAAGTTGAGGTTGCAAAAAGATTCAAGCCGTATCGCCTCTGTCCACTTGACCCTTGGCAGCAGCAATGAAACAAAGATGTCTTGAACTTGCTGTATTGGACACAGTGAATTTGCTGTATCTGGGGTCTGGGGAGGGTGAGTGTGAAAGTCAGCTTTACGCCTCGAGCCACCAATAAAAGAAAAACAACGTCCAATCGAAAATTAATGGCGTGAAGCGCCTAAAATGAAGATTACCCAAAAGATGGGGAAAAAGTGGGCGGGTGAAAAGGGGGCATTCGAAGAATTCTTTTAGAGTGTGTGGTGGTAATAATAATAATTTGCTTCTAGCCTAGACGACGTGAGGTCAAAGATTTGGGTTCAAGCCCTTGATGGCTTTCTAACTCAAGAGGCGAGAGTGCTGTGAGTTGCAACTAAATGCAAGTTGTTGTTGTTGTTTCACGTCAGGAGGATGCCCCCCACTGCCCCTCAAGGCGCTGGACAGTGAGGGATCCTCAACCGAGCTGGTGGTTGGGATCAAGAGGGTTGGAGGGTGGGGGGTAGGGGGTTGACCGAAGGCACGGACAAAGAGGAGGGTCTTGAGATGGGTCTTGAAGGAGGCAAGGGAGGGGGTGAGGGGGGAGGGACTGTGGGTGGGATGGAGATCCAGAGGGTGGGGGACAGAGAGGCAGAAGGCCCGCCCGCTGATGGTTTTATAGTTTAGCGTCATTTGTTGCGTTGGAGAATTGAGGTCGGGACAGATTTGAGGAACAGAATCTGGTTTATGGTTGAGCCGGTGATGATCACAGATCCCAACTCACTCACTCACTCACTCACTCACTCTGCTTCCACACAGCAACCCGATAACTTACCCCATCGGAAAACGACAAGAGAAGGCTCTTCCCAGCCAAGAATCCAGTTCAAAAGCTGGTTACTGTTTACACGTAATCACATCGCTGCGCACGTCAACGGCAGAGGTCGCTGGTCACCGCGGCCACACACACACACACACACAGACTTAAGACACACAAATAAAAATTAAAACAAGGGAAAAAAAATCTCTCCGCGCCACAATTCTCCAGACACCGTCAAAAAAGATATAGCGAATTACAACTAATCTCATCTCATGGTCATCATTCTCACATCCGACTCACTCCGGGGGCTTTGCTATTGTTGGATATAAAGTAACCGAAGCTCACAATCAGATTCCAGCCTGTAATTCACTCCCCCGGATGCTTTATTCTGCACATAAAACCACAAACCCACTGATTGTACGTCTTCATTTCCCAATCGAAGTCCGTTTCCTGAGCTTGACAAGTACACACTGTCGAGTGTGGTGACTGCCGTGTTTCACCCACAAAATACACAGTCACTACACTTTACTCCCTTGCCTCCTTTGAAGACCCGTCTCAAGGCCCTCCTCTTCAACCGTGCCTTTGATCACCCCCCCTACCCCTACCCGCCCCACCCTCCACCCCTCCTGACCTCAACCACCAGCTCGGGTGCAGATCCCTGACTGTCCAGCGCCTTGGGACGTCCTCCTGACGTGAAAGGTTTTACACAAATGTAATTTCTTGTTGTTGTTTACAGTATATCCTGTGAAGCGCTTTGAGATGTCTCGAAGATGTGTTTAGGCGCTGTATCAAATGCAAGGAATAATATTAATAATATTATTCGTGGTCAAACACAGCAGCCATTTGTACACAGTAAAGTCCGACAGAACGTCATCTCCAACGAGAAAACCAATCGACCAGAGGGAGTGTTGGTAAAGACGTCTGGAGAAATTCCCTTCCCTTTTCCAATCATGTAACGGCATCTTCAGTGCCTACAAAATACACAGTCACTGCAGTTTAACAGTATATTCTATGAAGCGCTTTGAGACGTCTCGAAGATGTGATAGGGCGCTGTATCAAATGCAATGAATATTATTATTATTACTATCATCATTAGATTCCAGGCTGTAACGCACTCCCCGAAAGCATTATTCCATAAATAAAATCTTGAAACGATTGATAACAACAACAACAACAAAATGACATTTGTATAGCGCTCTTCACGTCGGGAAGACGTCCCAAGGCCCTGGACAGACAGAGTTTCAGATACGATTCTAATCTGGAGCTAACTCTTGCTTTATTCTATATATAACCCCTCCCCCAAAACTGATCGATTGGATCGATTGAGTTACAGCCTATAACTCATTCCTGGGTTGTATTATTCTATATATAAAACCACAGACCCATTGATCAGATTCCAGTCAATAACTCACTCCCAGAATTTGTTTTTCTCTATATAAAACCCCAAAGCCCGTTGTTTAGATTCCAGCCTGTAACCCACTCCCAGAGGAAACGTTATTTGTATAATCCCCTCCCCCTCTCAAACCCATCAGATTCCAGCCTATATCTCATGCTCCTAATATCTGTTAGTTCAGTCCAGACTTTTCACCTCATTTAAGACCTTCAGAAAAATATATCAAATAATCCACACTTGATTTCCTGCTGTGATCACCTGCTGCGCGTTGTGGGACAAAACCAAGTCTTGTTCCGCTTCTAGTCTTGCTTAAAGCTTTATAATACCTTTATAATACTTATTTTGCTCACAAAATACACAGTCAATCCACTTTACAGTATATGCTGAGAAGCGCTTTGAGACGTCTCAACGATGTGATAAAGCGCTATGTGAACTGCAAGGATTATTATTATTATTTATTATTATTACCTTACAAATGTTCCCCAAACTATACAACTTATATTTTCATCATTCTTACTAAGTTAAAATGACAACCCACTTTGCAAGAAGTTACCGTCAAGTGAAATGAGACAGATAGACAGACACACACACACACACACAAACACACACACACAACACTTGCAGTAGTGAGATCCCACCAAAAACCTTGAGGTGAAATAACCGATAGGCCAAACGATAGGCTAAGGGCCTTCTTTATCTGAACCTCTTTTTGTCATCTTGTGTCACGTTGTCACCTTGTCACCTCTTGGCTTTATTGAACAAGACCTTGGTATCTAAGTTGACTAAACTCTTTAGAATCCAGAATACATTGGTCCTAGTCATTTACTGCCATCCATGTCAACGCTCACAAAGCCGTCAGGAACTTAACTACCGGAAACCCCATGAGCGAGAGGGACAGAACAGTGAATGGTCCTCTCCGACCGTGCCTTCCCCACTCCCCTGCCCTCCACCCTTCCTGACCCCAACCAACTCCCAGCTCGGGTCCAAAAACCCGTGACTGTCCAGTGCCCTGGGGCGTCTTTCCGACGTGAAGGGCGCTATACAAGTGTAATTTGTTGTTGTTGTTGTTGTCAGCACAAACTTTGGGGCCTGATGAGACCTGGGACAAGTGAAGGCAGCTCTTACCTCGAAGCACAGTCAGCTTGGCCGTGATGGTTAAGTCCCCCATGTTGTTGGTGGCCTGACATTCGTAAACCGCCTCATCTCGAGGGGTCCTCAATGGCTGGATCCTCAGCACCGCACCGGCTCCGTCATCAAACTCGATTACCTGAAAGAATCGAAGGAGCCAGGTCAACCACTCACCCTCAACCCCGGCTGTGGAGAGCCCCATCCCTCTCTGGAAATGAGCTGTGGGTTTAGCTCCAACTCCCTTGGCCTTCTCCCAAACCCTTTTAATACCCGTAGTGTTCCATTTCCAAGTCCAAGTCCGTTTCCTGTTTGCCTCACATCGAAATGCCACAAGCACTTCACAAATAACCGCTGCCAAGTGTGGTGACTGTCCACGTGTTGGCAAACCAACAGCGAGAGGTTTAGCAGCTGAGCTAAGTTAGCTGCTCAATGGGGACAAAAGTGGCAAGAAACCAGATGGCAACTGAAGGGAACCGTACAACTGTACCCAGTGGAAGAGAAAAGGAATCAAACACCTTCACAAGAGGAGGGAGGGAGAACACACACAGATGAAATCGGCAGGGAACGACACAGTAAGTTTACGTGGCAAAATGTCCACGCACCTCAAATCGCTGGGAGCTCACTCTCTTTCCTTTCTTGTTCCAAGTAACCCGAGGTTTGGGCTCGCCAGTGGCCTGGCAGACGAACGAAGCGACTCCTCCCGAAACACCGATTTGGTCTTTGGGAATTCTGAAAAACTTTGGTGGAGCTGAGAGGGAGGAAAGAGGAGAGATTGAAATGCGGTATTTCACAGAATCTATTCAAGAAGCCGAACAGTAACAACTATTCCAGTAACTAATACTAATCCTTGCATTTCATGCATTTGCCTATCATGTCAAAAAGTCTCAAAGCGCTTCACGGAGTTTTCTGCAAAGTGTAGTGACTGTGTATTTGTTAACGAACATGAAAGTTATTTGCCAACACTGTGGGTTGAAATCCCAAATTGTGACATTGACCTGCTAGTCCAGGCTGACACTCACTACATGGCAAAGCATTGTCCCACATCAGGTCTTTGAGCTCACAGTCTACACTGACACTAAAACAACAACAACTTGCATTTATATGGCGCCCTTCACATGGGGCAGGGTCTTGGAGCGATTGATAGTGGCAGAATCTGACGCCGAGCTGGGGGGAGGGAAGAGGTGACTGTAAGTGCGGTCGAAGAGGACGGTCTTCAGTAATGATCTAAAAGAGGGTAAGGAGGGGGCAAGGCGGAGGGATTGGGTGAGACAGTTCCGAAGCTTCAGGGCTCTGTGACTATAAATTTGTGGGTGAACGTAGCAGCTGATTTGCCCACAACCACCCACGAAGTGAATGAGTCATTTTATCTGGAGGATTGTTAGCCAGGACACAGGGGGAAAAATTCCCTTCTCTTTTCGAGTAACGCCACAGGATCTTTAACGTCCAACCTGAACAAAAGGACCTCAGTTTCACGTCTCATCTGAAGGATGGCACCTTCAGCAACGATCCCAGAGGTGCACTGGAGCATGCACTGGTTCAAGGTCCTGATAGGCCTTGAACCCACAACCTTCTGACAGAAAGTGGAGACTTTGAACCCCAGCAAACAGCATCAAACCAAATCAAACACAGTAACAGTCAAGCCCAATCCAAAGGCTGCACTTGTCCAAGTAAAATGCACCTTTGGCCATCTCCCGTCCTCATCCCTTCCATAAAATAAAAATTGAAAAAAAACAATTTGGTCACTCCATCCACGACTGTTTGTGGGACGCTGCTGTGCGCCATTGGCTGCCGTGTTTCGTCCACAAAATACACAGTCAATTCACTTTCCAGTGTACCCTTTGAGACGCCTCGAACACCTTGATAAGGCGCTGTATCAAATGCGAAGATTATTATTATTTTTACAGATTCGATACAACCTCAGACCCCTCCCGGTGTCCACGTGAGCTTTGCTAAGGTTTCTGAAACAGTTTCTTGAGGACAGCATCTTTTAGGCCTGTTCCGCTCACACGAGAAGCACTCAGGAATCAAAGAGGCCTGAAGAATGATTGTGGAACCGGAGGCTCGTTTCTCTGAAACAAAAGCCAGGAACCCTGACCAAGCCAACCTTTGCTGCTCTTATAATTCTCCCCTCGTTTTGGCATGACAGCACATCAGCAGCTCGCTGCGGAACAGGGATTTGAGGCCCTGTTGTTTGTGGCTGGAGGCTGTACATTAGAGAAGTGGAAACCTCTTTCTGGTTGTAATGATACTCTCAACATGACCTTTCCATTTCCAAGAACTTCTCCAAAGCCGGAGGCTTTCGACTCTGTGAGAATCACACACCGCTGGTCACTTTACCAGCAGACTTCACTATTTGATTAAAATCCACCTACAGACATTGTGTGTCTTGGCCCTTCCACCTACCCTGATTACCCCTCTTCCTCCCTCCATCTCCCCCCACACCCCACCCAACCAATGTGGCCAGATTTTTTTGTTGTACTATGCTTCAAAAAGCTGTCTAATTTCCAAAATTGTTAACGCAAACCTGCAAAACTTTGTTTTCCTCTCCCCTTTGAGGCCTTTTTGTTAGTTCCAAAAGCACTGACCTGAATTAGCCACTTGGCTACCCCACAGGAGGCAATATTGGGGTACATTTGCGCTGGTATTTGGTTGATTTTTGGGGGCCACCATCTGCCCTCAACTCATCTCAGAACGTGGGTGATGCTGGTGGGGTCGGTATCTAATGGTTGCCCTGAGAAGGTGGTCTTCTCTTTACATCGCTGTGGTCCTGGTGGTGAGGGTGGGTTGGGGAGTTCCAAGGGTTTGACCCGGCAACGACAAAGCAATCGGCAAGACAATAATAATAATAATCTTTGCATTTGAAATAGCGCCTTATCGTGTCTTCAAGATGTCTCAAAGGGCTTCACGGAATACAGTATACGTTAAAGTGAATTGACTGTGTACGTTGTGGGCAAACGAGATAGCTTCAAGCCGGTGTGATGAGTAACATAGGGGTGATAGTTTTCCAATAATACAACAACTCCTCCACGCAGGGAACACTGCACCATGGGGGAGCAGGGGGAGAGAGAGTGTAGCGCTGTTCTTGTTCTTTGGGTGGTAGAGGTCACAGGGCTGTGGAAGTTACTGACTTTATGAGTTACTGAACTGGCTATTATTGCCCCCTTCCTTACCTCCTTCAAGGCCCATCTCAAGACCCTCCTCTTCGATCACCCTCCTACCCCATCCTCCCCGCCCTCCACCCCTCCTGATCCCAACCTCCCAGCTTGGGAGCCCATCCTTGACTGGCCAGTGCTTTGGGACATTCTGGAGGAAAAATTCTCAGTCCCAAACCCTTCCTAACTGAAACGATCAGTTTCACCTCAGCCTTCCCCTTCCCTGATTAGACAAAGTACCTCTGTCCCCCCCCCCCACCCCCATGCAGCCTCTCCCCACCCCTCAATGCAACCTGGTCCCAGTGACAGAGACTCAGGGGAGCTGCTCAATGGAACAAGCTAAGCTGCCATCACTGGCTCCTTTCCATTGATTGTATGACAACTGACAGCTTATTCCCCGAAGGAGTTTCTTCCCACTTTCCCCCGAAGTGCGTTGGCCAAGGGCGAAACATTAGGCGAGTTTCCTTACTCCACACGCCTCTGTTTACCCAGCAGTAAGTAGGAACCAGTTGTTAGTGGATTGGCAGATCGCTTCCCGGGAATAATCCCTTAAAAAAAATTATAATTTGGTCATGCAATCCACGACTGTTTGGTGACGCTGCTGTGCGCATTTGGCTGCTGAGTTTTGCTCCTCAAATATACAGTCAATTCACTTTATAGTATACTCTGTGAAGCGCTTTGAGACGTCTCAATGACATGATAAGGCGCTGTATCGAATGCAAGGATTATTATTATTTTCTCCCACTACAACAATGGAACCTTCACCACCCCACACTTCCCCCCCCCCACCCCATTTCCCCACACCCCCACTTCCCCACCCCCATCGCCATCCCACTTTTTCTGGACTAAAGCACAGCTATTGAAGAAATTGCGATAGCTGATGAATCCGAATGAAGGAACAATGTGACAACGTGGGCTGTACAGTAACCAGATACTCATGTCTGAAGAGGTTCCAAGAACGTAATGGAGCGATTAAGGAGGAATCAATAAGAGGAGAGCAGGCGCACAGTGTGCACACCGCACATCCGCCTGTAGGAAAGTACATTGGATCAGTAAAACATCCGCAAATAAGTTGATGTGAAGGAAATTTAATAAGGAGCAAAATCCTGCCCACTAAATCCCACTAAATCCTACTTACTTTTATTACTTCCTCTCCTGTTGCAGCTAAATGATAGGATTGCAAATAAATTGAGTTAGAATAGAATATTTCCTATAGATATGAGGGCTTATTCGGATGCTTTGCACAGCAGCAAACCAGGCTGTGTTGCTAAAGCCAAAGTGCATTCTGAGCGGTGATTGGGAGGAGGCGGGGAGGGTATTATAATAATCCTTGCATTTGATATAACGCCTTTATGTTAGCAGGACCTCTTAAAAGTGCTTCACAGGATTTTACTATAAAGTGTACTGACCGTGCGTTTTATAGGCTCTCACTGGTAGACATGAAGTGAATGGTCAATTTGATCCGGGTGATTGATTGGTTGGTTGATTGATTGATTGATTGATTGATTGACTGATTGGTGGGTTGGCTGATTGATTGGTTGACTGCCAAGACAGTGGGAGAAACAGCAGTGTCCAGGCTGACGTTCCAGGGCGATGCTGGGGTGTGTACTATATAATCAGAGGTGTGGTCCTTCAGATGAGATTTCAAAACAAGGTCCCATCCTATGATCCTATTAGAAAAGAGAAGGGAATTTCTCTTTCCTGGTGTCCTGGCCAATTCTGCCCTCCTGCCCAGATAAAACATCTCATTCAAAACATAGTTGTTTGTAGAGTCTGCGTTTTGCTGTGTGCAAATTGGCTGCAGAGTCCATCTACAAAATACACAGTCACCCCACTTAACCACAATTTTTCTGAAACGCATCAAAAGGTTTTGATGTTACAGGCGCTGTATCAAATGTACTGAGTTATTGTTGTTATTATTGAGTGAGGAGGTTAGAGTTTGGCAGATTTTGAATCAACGCAGACAAAGAGCAACCCTTTACCATCAACAGAAAGAACACACTGATTTCCATCACGTTCCATCAGACCTCCTGAGCCTGTACTCCAACCATTGATGAGTCCAATAAAAGGGGCTCTTCACACAAGAGCAAATTACACATGCTCAGATTGCCTAGTCTCTGGCAGCTGGTAGCAGATTGCTACCATCCAATCGGCAGCCCCTTGATTACAACTGATTAAATAATCTGCTTCAAATCACCAGATGTTAGAAGGTTGGAGTTTTAGTTACCAGCCAGTCCATCACCCCAATCCCTGCCAGATTCCACTGGCTCTTCATCTCTGAAAGGTTCGACTTCGAGGTTCTCAGCCTCACATACAAATCCGGACACTCCCTTGTATCTCCCTACCTCTCTGACCTGCCTGGACCTCATTCCTCTGCTTGCACCGTTCGCTCAGCTAATGCAGGCCAGTTGGGTATCCCCAACCCCTTTGCACTACCATTGGTGACCGTACCTTCAGCCACTAACCTCTGGAACTCCCTGCCTCACTCCATCCGCCTCACTCCCCTCTTTATCTACCTTTAAATGCCACCTTAAGACCTACCTCTTTACCTGCGCCTGTGGTCACCTCCCTCTCCTGCTCAGTGGTCAATCCCACC